AGCCATGAGCGAGGGGGACGGCCATATAACAGGCCAACGGTCCCGTCCTTACTCGAGATACAGAGTGGCATCGCGACATCCAGCCTTCAACCTCCCTCTCTGGAGTCATCGTCATGAAGTTCCTCGCCTTCGCAGCCCTCGCGGCCGCCGTCGTTTCGGCCTTCCCTGCCCTTGAGCTCCCCACCGGCATCCCTCGCTCTCTCTCCGAGTTCAAGGAGAAACACCCTTACACAGCCAAGCGCAGCAAGGCGCATTGCCGGAAGACTATCACCATCCGGGCCTCCAAGACCGACACCGACGATGTCGCCAACGACTTCCTCAGCGGTCTCAAGCAGGCCAACAACGGTGGCACCCTCTACCTCCCCAAGGGCAAGACCTTCGTCATCGGAAAGCCTCTCGATTTGACCTTCCTCAACGACGTCCAAGTCCACCTCGAGGGCGAGATCAAGTTCACCAACGATACGGCCTACTGGCAGAAACACGCCTTTGCCCACCCATTCCAGAACAGCCTCATGTTTTGGAAATGGGGCGGCAAGAACATCAAGATCTACGGCAACGGAGTTCTCAACGGCAACGGTCAGCGGTGGTGGAATGAGTTCGCCGGCCTGGAGATCCTCGATCCCAGCAACACGTACCTGCGCCCGATTCTGTTCTACGCCGAGAACGCTACCGGTCTCGAGTTCGAGGGTATTCACTTCAAGGACTCGCCCTGCTGGACCACCTTCTTTGTCACCTCCAAGCACATCTCCTTCAAGGACGTGGCCTGCACGGCCGAGTCCAACAACGCCACCGCTCTTCCCAAGAACTCAGACTTCTTTGACTCGCTCAATGTTGAGCATGTCAGCGTCGAGCGGGCGTGGGTTAATGTAGGCGATGACTGCTTCTCGCCCAAATCTAATGCCACGGACTTGTACGTGAACACCATGTACTGCAATGGCACTCACGGACAATCGATGGGCTCCATTGGCCAGTATGCTGGTGAGAAGAGCTTTATCAAGGATGTGGTTATTGAGAACTTGTGGATGTTGAACGGCCAGCACAGCGCTCGTTTGAAGTCCTGGGCTGGCCCTAACGTTGGCTATGGCTTCATTGACAATGTCACGTTCCGCAACTTTTGGAATGCCAATAATGAGTACTCTGCCTTCCTAGACTCTTGTTACTTCAACGTAAGTCTCGGCTCTCTGACCCAAAAAGAGACAACAACTAACACAATGCACCCAGATCAACGCCACTACTTGCTCGCAATACCCCTCCCAGGTCAACATCAGCAACGTCAACTTTGAGAACTTCTCCGGATACACATCGGGCAAGTACGGCCGCGCTGTCGCTCGTCTGACTTGCAGCCCCAACGCCGTCTGCGAGAACATCAAGTTCAAGAACTTCAGCGTCACTAGCCCCTGCGGTGGTGAGCCTGTTGTTATTTGCGATGGCATCAGCGGTGACCTTGGTATTCCTTGCGTCAAGTCAACTAGTCCGGAGGCGACAGCCGCGTTGAAGGACAAGTGCTCAACCGCTATGGCGACACTTCCGAAGCCAACGCCGTGGTTGTAGAGAATTTGTATATGTATAGGAAAGGATAATCGGTCAATAACTATTCCAGCCTTGGATGGCTGAACGATACAACAAAAATATTGTTTACTCTCAATGGTCTTCTCTTTCCAATCCTTGATCACAACATTTCATCCCACCCCTTACATTACATTAACAAGTGCCAAAATCCAGCCGCCACCATCGCAGCAGCCATCACACTTGTCACCCTCGCCGCACCACCCGCTTTTGGCCCCTCGGCAGGCTGCGAACTAGTCGCTGCTGCCACAGTCGTCGCCGACCCAGTGATCGAACTCGCAGAACTTGTCGTGACCGTAGTCGTCGTCACCGTACCCGTACCCGTCTTCGTCAAGGTTACCACCCCACTGCCAGACTCCGTAGATGTAGCCTTCCCAGTAGTATTTTTACCAGTCGTACTACCAGTGAAAACCGCAACCGGCGCCGTACAACTCTGCCCTTTTCCCACCATCGTAATTGTAGTCCCATGCACAACATCCGTCAAAGTCTTCCCCATCTCCCCTCCCGTTGCCCTTATCCACTCCCGTTTATAAACACTCATCCTCCCCGTATCCTTCTCTTCACAAACACTATCCAACCTATCAAGCTCTTGACTGTGTTGACTCACCCAGCTGTCCACTTGGGAAGTATACACCCCGTACTCGCTCGACAATGAGGCAGGAAGGGTGATGATGCATTGAGGAGCTGCCACGGCCGAAGGGGCAAGGGCGTGTTTGGCTTTGTCGAGGGCTGTAGATAGGGCGGGGCCGGGCGTGGGGATGCTGGAGATTAGAGAGAAGATGGCGACCATGCAGGAGGCTTCCGGGTTGAAGGAGTGGGTGGTTGCTGGTGCTGGGTGTTTTGTGGTGGGTGTTGTCATTGTTGTCGTTGTTGGGGATGCGGTTATTCCTGTGGGCAAGGGGACCCAATTGGCTCTGAAGGTGGTGATGGCGCGGGTGTTAGTTTTATTTCTAGGGGTGCAGGGCTCGCACGCTCCGGCGCTGGCCGCGGCGACTGTTAGAGGCTGAGGTTGTTCATGGCCTCGGTCGTGGTTCTCTTCGCGGACAAAGATGTCGGTTGCCATGATGGCGGCAGCTAGTTGGTGATGACGGGTGTTGGTGGTGGGCGGCAGAGTGAAGGAGGAGGGAATGAGGTCGGCAGTTGTGTGAGTTGTCAGGAAAAAGTCATTGTCGGCGGCGGCATCCTGGTCGACTTGTATGTGACTGGCGAGACGGCCACGGATGTTGGCGCTGTGGATCGAGGCTGCTGCGTTGGTGAGGGCGAGGGAAAAGATGAAGAACGTGAAGAATGGAGGGATGGGGCCTTTGATTACATCCATGAGAGAGAGGATGAATGGTTATTAGAGGGGTAGTGGTAGGCTTGATCGTATTTGGTGATACTTGTCAAGACTGTGTGATAGGATTCGATAGGAAAAGTTGAAGTTTGGTCATGTAGATGACAACTTTGTATGAGGAGAGAAAAAGGACGATGAGAAGTGGACCGTGAACTGGATGTCGTTCAAGTTTTAATCTTGAAAGTATCAACATACCCCCTGGTTGAAGCAAGACAGTTAGACAAAGAAGTCACGATCCAAAGTTAAACAATACAGGTTGTAGCAGGTCGCATGCTTCCTTCCCGCCACGGGGAAGGCTTTAGGATTCCTTCCATTGTTTGGTTCTGATTCCCGGTAGCAGCTTCGTTTTACCCTCAAAGAGAAGGCAATGTTATTCCTCCACTTGATCAGCAACCCCCATATTGAATCTTTGGTATTAGATATTGACTCAGCCGTGCGTGCCGATTTTCCTTTGCAGGGACTTCAACTGCAATAAAACGGGCCAATGTAGTAAAACTTTTCGTTGTTGTACTAAGAAGAAAACATGTAAAGTCATCGCTAACAAAAGAATTGTGAAAATCCCAAAATGCAATATCAGCTTTGCAGCTTGCCTCTAGTAAGGCCGCTGAAGTCCTCACCTCACATTGTCAGCTGAAGCAGGCATACGAACAGCTAAAGATTTGCCAATTTCCCATCCGTAACAGAGTCATACTTCATCGCTTGAAGAGTAAGCTTTTCCTCTTCACCTGCAACCTGGATGACGACGGTAGCAACGTGATCGAACCCTAACCGGGCGTAAAGATGATATCCCATAGGGCTTGCCATGACTGAGATGTCCTTCAACGTCTCTTTTCGAATGACGTCCATGCCCCATCTACAGAGTTTACTTGCGTGGCCGCGTCTCTGGAAGTCTGGCAAGGTAGCTAGGATCTGGAGATGAAGCTGCTCTGGGCCAATACACCCAAAGTACTTCTTGTAGGCCTTGGCCTGGCCATTACAGAAGGCGTTGAAGTGTAGCTGGTTGGCATCTCTACGCGTGCTACCTCCTCGTTTATCAACTTCTTGATTAGCTGTATTCATGAAGTTAGTAAAGCTGACAGTTAGGCGATTTTGGTCAATACTTACGGTCTTGAGGGGTATAGTCTGGCCCATATTTGCGCTTGTTTAGGTAAGAGACATCCCAAACACTGATGGAAGCAATCTTGAGCTTCTCACAGCCGGCAGGATCAACGTCTTCAACCACCATGACGGCCCAGTCATCATACGACGGGTCTAGGAAGTATTCGAACAACATGCGCGTGTACTTGAAGTGGTCGTCGGGGAACTGTTTCCGCAACGGGAAACGGTAATCCCATTGCGGGTCCAGGGGCATTGTCTTGATGATGGCATTGGTGATGGCATCAACGTCCGATGGAAGTCCAGGCCTGATCATAGCTGCCGTAGTGAGCATTGGCTTAAAGAATAAGTTGAGGCTCCTATCGAGCAACTCCCAAGTCCGACCCGGGAGTTCAACCTCAAGAAGAGGAGGGACACTGAGGGAGCCTTATTACCCCCAGCAGCTGACATCTTTTTGTGGCTGACAGCCTGATTGCTTTGCTTGTGACGATTGGATCAGCCCGGCTTTCGGCCTACCTTGGGTTTGTTGAGCTTTGTTGAGGCTCGTTTGCCGTACACCTTTCCTCATGCAAGTGTGCGGAACAGCCTCAACTGGATCGTTCGGGCTGTGTAACTTGCCCAAACGGCCAATGCGTGGTGGTCGCTGACATTGCATATCAAGCTTGAAGCGTCTCGATGACTCGGTGAGCAGGCCGAGGGAATGGGCAAAGGTAGTTGCACAAAGAGATGCGTGTTAATGGAAGGCGGACGTATTTCAGTGTTGAGAACCTCGAATATCAGACTACAGTCTACAGGGTTGGCCGACATGCCATGGTTCTTGGAGATGACTGATAAGGTCAGCTTCAACCGCCAATGATGAAGTGGTTGGAAGTTGGGAAACCGACGGGAAGTTTGGATGGGCATCGGGTGATGTGATTTGGTGCAAAATGCCTGCCGTCAGCATTTTAACACTTGTACAAGAAATAAAGGTTGTTATAGCTTTATTGTGGAGTCAAATCCATACTTTCTTGTAAATATGCAACACCTCAGCAGCCCCAAGAGAATGTCAAAAAGAGGCAGCCGCTACCAACCGCCCCAATTCAGGGGCAGTACTGCGTAAGCTTACCCTAGCACCAAGGTAACATATCAGCCAATCCGAGCAGCTCAACCCCTCCAACCTGAGCACAACAACACTGCCGCCGAACTCTCTCAATGAGACATCTCAATGGACAAAATGACGCCGCCTCTGGCCCCCAGTTCCCATCGAGACCCTACGGCGGGTTATGCGTGAGACCATACCCAGAAAGGAATTGCGGCGAGCATAAACTTCCAAAAATGGATGTGCTGAAATACAGTGGGTAATACAAAAAAACGACCAACGCATTTTTTCTCCACTTCCCCAACCTTGACTATCTTTTTTCTTTTATACCTCATAATCTCATTTCTTAGTGTTTGTTGCAATGCCCTAACTAGCCTATAATAATAGCACCAGTATAGAGATGCTATAGTGAATTATGTACTTGTAGCAGAGTAGAGTGGAAGTGGTAGGAAGTACAATAGTAGTGCTGAAGGAAGCAGCGTAGTTGCAAATACAATAAAAGGATATTGTAAAAGCGGTCTTAGAGAGAACTCTACTCTCAAGACAAAAGAGTACAGTAGACTCTGCACTATAAGAAACAACTATTATAGTAAACTCTACACTATAAGAGTAAACTGTATTATATTACTTAGATTGTGCTTGCTTGCTTGCTTGCTTAAGGAGTGACTAACTAAAGAAGAGAAGAAGTCTTTATATACACGAACGTTAAGTATTTAGAAGCTTCCAGAGTGTAAAAGCTTTTATAAGTTGATAGAAGTGCTTGTAGGAGTACTATACTATAAAAGGAATGAACTGAATCTATAAGCTTCTGGTGCATTCCATAATGACAAATTAGTTTAAAAAGAATGCTAAACAAGTTAAAGAATCCTAAAATATAGTAGCAAAACCTCTATATTCTAACATGTTCTAGAGGAGTTGAGTCGACTGATTCTATAAAAGGAATAGCTCAATCAGCCTTCTATACTACAAGGTAGTACAAGGCAGTTATAAGGGTTCTACGATATACACGTAGGTAAGCCTTAATGAAACTGGTAATATTCAACAAAGAGGAAAAGGGAAGTCTGTGCCTGTATAACATGGAGCTTACAGCTAAATACACAAGAGAGGTGCGGATATTGAAGGTGCCAGAAACGCCAAGGTCAGAAATGTGGTTCGTGCGGCGCACCCCAGGAGTGCACCCAACCAGAGGGCAGGCCTGGCTTATATAGGCTTCAAGCCAGGCAAACACCCTGGGCGCCAGCCCCATGACACGTGTTACGAACTTAAGCAAGTACACAGACCAACCAGGCTGTCGGAATATAGCAGCCCCGCTCATGATTAGGATCGTGTAACCTAAGACAAGGATTGGACCAGAGAGCGTATGCAGAGTGCTCACTGAAGGGCGGCGCTCACGGTGAGCAGGACATCGCTGGTGAGCGGACACACAACATCTAGTAGATAGAACCATGAAGCTTAGTAGAGCAGCCGGAGATAGATATCTCGCAAAGGGCGAGGAGGTATAAAAAGACGACTAGAGAACTCAGATAGTTCGACAGTAGTCAATAAATCATCATCATCAAGACCAGTATCACGAGCATACTTGTTGTGAACCTTTTGGCTTCACCGAACGACTTCTGATAGTTATCGTCCTTCAGCTATCTCACTTAGGCAGGTCAGACTGCCGTTCGTCACACTTCCGCTATAAATCCAAAATTTATTCAAACTCGACACAAATCCAATCGTCATTCGCAGATATTTTGGGGTTCAATTTTCCATAGGGTGAAGAATGAGTTGGTCATCTGTGACGAACGGTAGTCTGATCTGCCTAAATGAGATAGCTGAAGGTAGTAACTATCAGAATCGTTCGGTGAAGCCAAAGGGCTCACAACAAATATGCTTGCGTACTGGTCTCAATGGTGACAATGGTCTGAATGTCTATTGACTACTGTCGAACTATCTGACAATCTGAGTTCTCCCGTAGTCTCTTTATACCTGCTCGCCCTCTGCAAGATATCTGTTTCCGGATGCTCTGGTGAGCCCCATAGTGCGTTGCTTGCAGTCTGGCTCGACTCGTGAGCCTGTGCCTGCCCGGAGCTCCTATCCTGTTTACACTGCCCAGCCTTCACGTGCTGTTGTGTACCGGTGGCCGGTGGCTTGGTTGGCTCGTGCCTCTCGTTATCAGTTCGTAACATCATCTACAATAGCGATCCCGATTTGTGACGAACGGCAGTCTGATCTGCCTAAGTAGGATAGCTGAAGGTAGAAACTATCAGTAGACGTTTGGTGAAAGCCAAAAGGTTCACAACAAGTATGGTAGCGTTATACTAGTCTCGGTGATAGTGATCAATTGATTACTGTCGAACTATCTGACAATCTGAGTTCTCTAGTCGTCCTTTTATACCTTAAGTGCCTGTTCTTGTTTCCTATGCCTCAAGTGTCCGTTTATGACGATGGCTCACTTATGATGTTGGCTCACCGTGAGCCCTGCTCATCGTGAGCCTTTGCGTTAGGGAGCCTGCATGCGTCCTTCGGGTCAGTGCTTGACCCTCTGAAGGTTACACTGGTCATCACAGGCGGGCAGTCGGGTCCCGATGGCTTGGGCGACTCTTGTGTCGCTTAAGTTCGTAACAGGAAGAACTTTGAACAGAGGAAATCCGTTAGCTTTTCGCGGAGAAAAGGAGGAATGAAAAAGGAGTATCGCTTATTCAAAGGGCGGAAAACCTAAGCCCGTTTTCCACTTCGCTTTTTCTCCATGGAAGATTTATCCGTGAAAAGGACGGACTTCCAAAATGAAAGAGGTTTATGTTCGTGCTTTAATCCTCAAGTAAGCCGGGAATCCGCCGCTTCTTTAGAGAGATATGGCCGTGTAACAGCAAGGTAGTGCTTAATTCCTAGCTTTTTGAAGTAGTTGGAAAGATAGGTCCTCACGATATTGGGGTATACCTTTTTTCGTAAATTTTCAATCTGAATGAAGAGATTTTTGGCAGCTTTGCGCAAGATACCTCTTTTATCCCTCTTATTTAATGCTGGTAGTCGACTACGGCTAGGTCTTGAAACATCCTAATTTTAAAGTTTGAAGCGTTTGACGACGCCCCGGATATGCTCTGGCGTCACTCTTTTATGAATTGCGATTGTAATTGCCGAGATATTATTGGAGTACTTTGCTGCAATGCAGTTTCTCCAGCAAGGTGTTGAGTGTTTAAATTTCGCCTTTTTGATAGGAGATAGTGGAATTATGACCATTTGAATAATAAGGTATTGAAATGGTGAAGGTTGAGAAAGAGGGGAAAATGCGGGGTTGAAAAAAAAACTGGGCGTTTATTTGTGGGAAGGACTGTACCTACTACGGCATGCAGCGCCATGATGGGTGACAAGCCGGAGCCTGGCTGGGCGGATGACGAGACGAAGCCACGAAGCCACAACTCCCGCCCGACACCCACTCCAAAACTTGCCTTCACACTGCCCTCCTGGTGCCCTCTCTCTGTGCCCCCTTGGCGACCCGCCGAGCATTCATGTCGAATCTCGAAGAGGGTCCGAGAAGGAGTCCCAGGTAACACCTCGATCCTCCAACACACAGTCGAGCGCCGGTCCCTCCCACTTGTCGCTTGCCTACATAACAAGGCCCTGGGGATGATGGAAAAGTAAAGTGTCCAGGTATGTCGGTTGAGTGTTCCACGATGCAACTTTACAACCACATGTTTGTTGATATCGATCCGTTGACACTGAGATTGCAGTCCAACGTCCTCATCGGCTCACCCCGTCGTCGACGTTCCGCAGCCTTGTCCCATATCACCCACTCCAATTCAATAACCATCATGTAGCTAGGGCGTACACCTGCCCAAGATTGGACAAGATGGCATTTCAACCCCCCGCCGACCATCAGGGTCCCCTTTCCCATTTGTCCTCCTTCGACAATCCCCTTCTGGGGTCAGCAGAGCCTTGTGACGACTCAATCCCGGACCTCCTTGGCGACTCCTTCCAGTTTCCTTTGGATGTTTTCTGGGCATACTTTCCTGTGGATGTGATCGATTTTGACCATTCATTCAACGCTGTTTACCCTTTCTCCTCCCTTGACCTTAGGCCGACTCATCACCCATCTCTTTCAACTCCAATCCCAGTCCCTCCTCCGGCACCGGCACCAGCACCAGCACCAGCACCGAGACTCTGCAGTCCCTCGACCCAAGCTTATTCGAAGGCTCATGACATCGCATCTGATCAGGCTCCCGACTACCATGCATCCCCCAATGCAGGAATGGCATCATTACCATGTGGAATCATTCGTCCATCCCGGATAATTGGCGTTAATGCTTACCCCGGCCTGCCCAAAGGACTTTCGGGGAGCGGGGAAGATGATGGCTTCCATGTGGGATCTTCAGGCTATCGACAGCCTACTTCAGAGAGTCATCCCAAATTTCAAAACTGGAATCTCGTGGCGAAGCAACCCATGTCAAACCTGAACAGTGCAAATCCAGGACAGCACCAAAATCTCTACGGCGCCTGCCATCCGAACCTCGCCCAATCGTCTTCACACATAAACAATACACCAACCTTGCCAGAAGCTGTTTTATCGTCTCTGCTATGGCAGCCTGTCGGAGTCTCAGGACATGGAAGCTGGACGGATCATGGAAACGGCAGCCTCCCCATCCAGGAGTATGTGGACGAGTCAACAAACACACAGAATCAATGGTCCAGTCCTCAGGAAAATATCTACGGTAGGGTGATACCATTCTGTGAAGGCCATGATGGACATGGTGTGGATCGTGAGTCAACCGGATGCGATCGCTCTGTGGGGTTTCATTCTCCTCTTGATGGATGTGGGAGCCTGTTACCGTACTCAACATCACGGACGCCGGAGTTGGGAGCACAGACCCCGTCTTTGTCAACAAATGTCACCACTCCTGAGTCGACTGGTAACTCTGGTCCACCCACCCCGGAGCCCAGCTTGCCGGAAAGCAGACGGAAGGGCCAGTCAGCCATTCTCCAGTTCGTGCAATACACTGCTGGAAGCGACACAGGTGGTAGGACCTCCAAGAAGCGGTTGGCTTACGATGAAGAGGACCAAGATGCTTTAAGGAATATTGTCACGAAAGATACCTTGAGGGATCAAGAGGGGACGATGAAAGACTTCAAGATCGTCTTCCATCATCGTGAGAAGACTACCAAAAAAGGTCCGACGGACCGAAGAGGAAAAGCGAGCCAGCGCGTTAGCTAGAAAGAACGGGGTCTGTGACTGGTGTAAGGAGAAAAAGAGAAAGGTAAAGTTACACCTCATCAATGTTTCAGTCACATGTACTAACCTAATCATAGTGTGATCTCCACGAGAAAGGACCATATGAAAGCTGTCGAGAATGTGCAACGAAGAAGACATACAAAGGCGTTCTGCGAATGCCTTGCTTCACGTCCACACTTGCGGATATGTTCTTCTTCCGTGAAGGTGTGCTAAACCGTCGAAAACCATTGTCCAAGTGAAACACTTGCTAACATGTGCGATGTGTTCAAGGCCCGGCTGTCAATGAGCCACTCTTCATTAATCGGGAAACGGTCTTCCAGCTTGCAGATTTCTCGAAACCAGACGTTGGCGTCATTAAGCTGAAGCTTACACAGAAGATCGGCGACCATCGTCTGGTTGTATACGCCTCCCAATTCGAACCATTGCCGGGAGATAAACTGTCGTACACGCTAAAGGATCGAGAAACGGGGAAAATATCCAAAATATCGATGCCTCATTTTTGTTTAACAAATTACAATGAGGTTCATGGTAACATCTTGAAGTATATCAACTTGGCAAAGAAGACCTACTTGCACACGCTCGAAGATGTTGGTGGACTCACTTGGGAAATCGTATCAATGGCCATGGAATACGCTGAAACTAACAAGGTAAATCCCCTTACTCCAATTAACGCGTCCCATCTGGCTAACATAACCAGGGCTCACTTGTTGATACGGCCCTTGATCTCTGGGTTGTCTGCAGGATGATTGAAGACCCGTGGGAACTACTGGAGGGCAACGAGCTCGGTGTTTCCCGTGTGGATTTGCCTGGAACCAGGTTCCATGGAAAAATCCCAATCCCTCCAATGATGGACACTCAACTGGACCAGGTCATAATTCAGTTCATTCTTAATCATCTTCGAGGCAAGCTTATTGGCCTGTTCGAGAAGAATATTAAGCCAGCAAAGCCGGAGACTTGGTTCGAGACCTTTCTTGCCTCGTTCATCTTGCTCACGCACATCGAACGGTTAGCCGCACATTCTGTCCGACATGCCGAGACCCACACAATGCCGGTCAGTAACAGATACCCCGAAATTTGCAGCATAGATGACTCGAAGCTGACATTGAAGCAGACCAAATACTCCAACACCCAGTTCCTTGAGCAGGCGTTCAATACTGCAAAGATCATTCTCTCGCGTTTCCATTACGCTTGTAACGGATCTGTACCGCTTGGTCTTGAATTTAACTGGAAAGCCTCTCACGTCTCTTCGATGGCCAAGCTGGGTCCTAAAGAAGTTGAGTTCATGCAGAGAGTACAGAACACATTCAAAGAGAGAGGTACGTTCAAAACAGCCCGATTCCTCTGCTATTTTGAGATTCGATGCCCACTGACTTCCCTTGCTGCAGTATATGATCTTCGAAAGCTCCCCGCCAACTATGAATATGAGGCTCATGGGCATTGGTACCATCAGCTATTCATCGAGGACTGGGACACGTCCCCTGTCGATGTAAAAAACCCATACGAGTAGAGTACCTAGTTGACTGATATCTCGGAGTATAGTGGGATGAATTTCCTGGTTGGGTGAGCATTCAACGAAGATTTTGTTCACATCATCAGTGCCGGGACACTCGATGAACAAGGCATCAAAATACCCACGCATGGCGGATAACTGGCAATTCATTATTGGAGTTCGGTGTAGATCGTGACGAAAGAATAAGAAATATGATACCCCCACTGCAACGCGTACCAGCGGAGTTCATTTCGGTGACTTCCGTTGCCGAAAGTCAGCCAGCATGGCAGCCTAAGAGTCAGAATGGCAGCCTGGGGCAAGGGACAAGCAAACCACAAGTCAACCACTTAAACATTTCAGGTATGACATCTCATAATTGGTTCATTGAAATGCACATCAACATGTCGACCATTTTAATTACGCAATGGGGTACCTAGGCTTCGCACCGCATCTGCGACTTTCTCTGTTCACCGTTCCATCAGCCCTATTTGCACGACGTAGGACTTGTTCCAAGAACCCTGCTTATCCGCATTGCGGTCAAGAAGAACCCTTGTTTTGAGGCTCTGCTGGAACAAGATCATTGGTCTGCCCTATGACTCGTACATAATTCCATAATTCCATGTGGAGAGGACAAGAAGGCTCAAGTTGAGTTCTTGGTGTTTGAACCGAACTTCTCCAATCATGCCTGTTTAATTCTCCTCGATGCGGCTCTATGAGCCTAGGAACTAGATACTTCCAATCTTCACACACCGGGAATCTTGCCCTGTTGACTCACATTGCTTCGATGCGGCTATGCGGGTTTCGGTGTCGGGAGGGGAGGACTGGACTTGGGCTTGAGGCTCTGGTAATGGCCGAATGTCGAGATTGCTCTAGGCAAGGAGCTTGAGGCTTTGCGGAAAGATGCGGTAAAACTCGGCTTCTTTGAGTGCTTCTAAGTAGCAAAGTAAACCTTGAGATGAGCCTGAGAGGTACCTAGTATGATGAGCCTTGAGATTCTGGATATAAAAGGGAGGAGTCGTACATGAGTTTTGAGAAGAGAGGACACAGACAGCACACAGTATCATCACAGCTTCACAGCTTCACCTGCTTTAAACTCAGCATTATCAGCACTTCATCATTGCGTTTCTTCCCATTCTCAGACCATCGAGCCCCATCAAGTCTTCAAAACTTACCTTGAAGTTCACCAAACACAATGGCTTGTCCCCTTCAGTCCACTCGCGCCTGCAACATGGCACTTCCACATAAGGACACCACCAGCCCCATCGTCCGTCCAGACATCGATTGGATTCCCTCCTACAAAGTCTTCAAGGAACGTGTCCAACGCCTGGCAGCACTGCACCTCAACCGTCCCACCACCCTCCCCGCCGGATGGCCCTCCAAGATCACATCCGAGCGTGTATGGTCCGGATCCGACTTCAAGTCCGAAGACGACTACGTAGTCAAGCTCAGCCAGGAAGACATTGCTGAGATCGAGAGCGCCTTGTCGTACTTCAAGACTCTTGACCTCGGCGGCCCGGACGACGTCTCCCAGTCCACCTTTCCCCTTCCCAACTTGGGTCCCAAGCTCTCCGAGATCTCCGACATCATCCACACCGGCCGCGGCTTCGTGGTCCTCCGCGGTCTCGAGCCCGACAAGTACTCGTCCACGGACAACATCCTCCTCTACCTCGGCGTTACATCCTACATTGCCGAAACGCGCGGGATGCAGGACTTCGACGGGCGCATGATCCTGCACATCCAAGCCGTCCGCAAGGAATCCGACGTCGCGCAGCATGGCAGCATGCCCAACTCGCCGTACGTCAACCGCGCCCAGCCGTTCCACACGGACCTGTGCGACGTGCTATCGCTCTACGCGCTTGGGGTGGCCGCCTATGGGGGCGAATCCTTCCTGTCCTCCTCCGCCAAAATCTACAATGAGATTGCCCGTCTGCGGCCGGACGTGATCCACGTGCTCGCAAAGGACGATTGGCCATTTGATGAGTTCTACAAGAACCAGTATCATACGCGGCCGCTTCTCTATAATTTCTCAGACGCCGCCTCGGGGGAGAAGAACCATGGTCCAGGCTTCCAATTCTCCCGCCGTCCGCTCACCGGCGCGCACTTCTCGCCTCACCACCATTTAGTCCCGGCCATGAGCGAGGTGCAAGCCGAAGCGCTGGACATGGTCTACTTTTTGGCCAAGGAACATGCTTTGGAGATAACCCTCAGAAAGGGAGATATGCAGATCTTCAACAACTTTGCCATGTTGCACGCTAGGAGCAGCTTCGTGGACGAGGGCGAGCAGAAGAGACATATGTTGAGGTTGTGGTTGCGGAATAAGCAGAAGGCCTGGAAGTCGGACTCGGAAGGGCTCGATAAGGTCGACAGGGAGGTGTATGAGTGGGAGACGGAAGAGTGGAGGAGGGAGGTGGGAACCAAGTGGGATATTGAGGCGAGTCCGCCCGAGTTGAGGGTGGATTTTAAGAGGGCTAGTTGTGCTTGAGGACGGGTTGAGGGTTTAGTTGGATTGGTACTCACCTAGGAAGGCATCATCTTGTTTTGAGTTTACTGTAATGTTTGGTTTTGGAGAGTGTATTCTGTTTTCTCTGCCCGCTTGAGATGGCTTTTGGTTGGTTTGCTTGGAAGTCAATGTTTTCACGAGGTAATTTGGCTTCCTGTTTTGAGATCTTCTTCGGCTCGTTTGGCGGCATCTCGATTTTGAGACTGTAGTAGACTTCAATTTGTAGAGAGATCCTCTTCATTGAGTTGTTGATTCATTAGAATAACCCTTCATTTGTTTCGTCTAACCCCGCAACATCAACTTAGACTATCCTCAATGCGGTCTCCGGATGAGTGGTTTAGATGGAAACGAGTGTCTTCCAGGGTGGGAGCATGCTTTGCCAGTCAGTCAAACTCAACATTTGGAGGTACCGCTGCACTTGTAGGTCGGTACCTTACGAGCGGTAATATCTGTCAGAAGGAATAACTGGTGCTTCCATTGCGTGGTAGCACTACCATAGCAGACGGAACTGGAAAGTATAGACGGCCTGGCCTAGAAGTGCCGTCTAGCCCAGAGGTTGTCGTCTGGTCTTGTTGTTCGAGGCTTCTAATTGGCTAACATGCTTCACCGAGGTCAGTTCCTTCCCACGTTTCCCAAGTCCCCCGGCCGTACTTTCCACCAAAGTAAGGTGCCCTACGTACTGTATAAGGTAAGGGAGATACGGCCCATACGGAGATAACGATGGTTCTTAAGGTAGGTGGGCAGGCCCGTGGTATTCAGTCAGCTGAGTGACTCCAGGGCTTTTGTCTTCTTTGCTCCGTCTTTTTCTTGTGCCTGATTGCCAGTTCGATCCCGCTCGTGTTGGCTTGTTTGTCGCGCGAAAAGTTTCGGGATGACCTCATAACAAAGATACTTTGCGTCCGTCGGGAACTTTTTCTTTGAGACCGACGGACATTAGCATAAGTGAAGTACTTTTGCGTGATTGATCTTGCAGCCCACGGCATTTGAAGTTCAGCTCAGCTCAGCTCGACGTGGAAGTTTGATGTGTGTGGGTGGTAAGTAATATGGATCGTTTGAGCTGATACTGCACGCTTGACAAAGGACTGCACTATGTAACTCCTAGTCCCTTTGAACTGTACAGTACTTAAGCAGTTTGAGGCGTGGCCCGCCCCCACACTCTCAGGACCATGGAAGCTTTCCTACCTTACTGTGCCTGTATCTCTGTGGGACTCGGAAGGAAGGAAGAGTATAGTGTAAAATCGCGTGCTCGCAAATAAGGTACTGACATTTCCGAGAGGATCATGACGCAGTGTAACCGTCAAGTCAATAGTGATAACCTTGATCACCACGTCTCCATGTACCTTACTTTTGTTGCGGCGGCGAGTCTGACGTGACGTGCCGTGCCGTGCCGTGGCACCTTGTCGCCCTATCGTCGGGGTACCAGTTTCTATCATAGCCAATGATATGATAAGGCATGATAAATATGATGATCGGAGCTTGAAACGTTTGCGGACCCGGAGATAGAGTGTTTAAGCATTCTGGCCCGTCTGGGTAATTTTGTCGACTGAAATCTCTTTCAGGGCCGACGGACCTCCCATAGTCTCGAATGGGCTTATTTTCCCCTTGCCAAATCAAACTTTAGCACCGGTAAGATCTGCTGCTGCGGCATTGACACAATATCAATCTATTTTCTTGGTATAGCTTGGCGATAATCTAGGGATTAGGTTGCTGTACGTACTGTGGTTCTACGGGATGATTTGCTAATTTGGGCATTCTTGACAAAGAGTGATTGAAGGGGAATGAGGTCCGTTAGACATACAGCCTCGGTGCAAGTGTCATATACCTGTATAAGTTGCTCAGTGTTTAAAGTGAAGATCAGGAAGTGAGTGTCAATCGGAACCCTTAATGGGTGTCTTCGAACATTGGTTTGACTTCTAGCGCTTATTTGGACACCAGAACACGATTGTGTCTTGCTTATCTGGCTATCAAATGCTTGGTGCGTTCTCTGTTTCTTACGTATACTGCTTTCCTCCTGGTTAGTTTCCGTGTTTCTCATCAGCTCCTGTTCGATTTACTGATGATTGCCCAATCTCACCACAATCTTTCGTTCCATCGCGAAACAGCCACCTACCTCACCTTTCGATAGTCTCCTTTGCCGCGCCGGGCAGAAGGAGTGTCTCGGAGCTTGTATCCAGTATCCACTCCAATCAGTCAGCGATGCATCTGCCACCATCCCGTTCCTGATCAAAGGTCCCTGTCACCCGCGAGGTGGCACACAGGTCATACAGTAGCCACCCAGTGACGAGCAGGGCAGCGACAAAAGTTTCGGCTCCAGTGTGAGTGGATTCGAGCAAGAAAGACAGTGCGAAGTGGAAGAGAGAAGCTCGAGAGAAGGTTCGAAACGGGATGGCGTAGGGTAACATCGACGGCCAGGGCAGAGGAAGTGGGAGGAGGGGGGGCCGGGAGGGGAAGGGCCGTGGACACTGGACCGCACCGGCGCGGCAATGTAACCCTCTAGGGTGGTATCGGCGTCTTGCGCTATCGTGAGTGTCATTATGTGAGGTCTCTTTGTTATCACACCGGAATGCGTGAGGATTGCGGGTGCAAAAGGTTTCAAATCGTTGTTCACGTTCACTGTTTCCGTCGGAATTGGGAGGATGTATAGCAATATGTTGCCTTGTTCGCTATCAGAGGAATATCGCAGAGTTTGTTGTTAGACAAGGATGATGTCGGTTGCCCTATTGCTTAAAGACCTCCAGCAAGTTGTCCGTTGTAGATTTTACGCAACCGCACCATAATCTGGAGTCATCGCCAAAAACGTCCATGCAGACTCGTCCGTAATATCTTTTATCCATGTGTGCGTGCTGTTAGAACGGTGTTGAATGTGTTGGGAACATTGTGACCGAAGCAGAGAGCGTCGCAAAGAGACCGCACAGTGTAGGAATGCCCTCAGCCAATGTCGGGTCTGGTACAGGGAACACCAGTCAGGACCTCAAAACGCCACAGCCGAGTGAGGCTCTTTACATGCAAACTACATCCTTTGCAACACGTTTCTACGAAGTGTAGCTCATGATGAAATGCGTTGCGAATTGATTCCTGTATCAATATCTTGTATCATTCATGGTGTTTCAATACCAATTCCTCCCAGACTAAGACTATCCATCATATGTCCTCCACTATGGTCCTAGGCTACCGCCAAAGGCGGGCACCTTTGCTAGTTTCGGATCGGCTCCATGCATCAGGCATAACCGGACGCCAGACTCGCTATTCTTGCTGACGGCCATGGAGAGGGCAGTCCGGTGACTGTTGTCTTCTGCGTTTACGTCGACACCTCTCTGAAGCAGTAACATGATAACATCCTCCTGGGAATTCTCAATAGCAACATGAAGCGCCGTCATGCCATTACTGTTGCGCTCGTTGACATCGGTGTTGTGATCGAGAAGCATCTGAATGATGCCACAGTTGCCATTCTTTGCTGCTGTGTGTAGCAAAGGCTCCCATTGTTCGCCGTCCTTGGACGTCCAGGTGCACGAGTCAATGGACTGGGTTGGCTTGTGCATCTTCCAATCCGTCGCGACCTGATCTCGGAGCTGAACCCCCATGTTTTCGGCATAATCGAACGCGGAGGCGTCTATATTGTCACCGTGTGGGGCTTCATTGGAAGCGCCGTGTTGTGGAGCGCCAGAAACGAGGCCCTTGATTTCCAAGGGGGCTCTAGGGAACATGTCGTCGCGGAATACGTGATTTTGTTGCATGGGAAATGGATAACCCTCTTGATCTTGTGGTGGAAAACAGGGCTTATTGGGCGCTTCCCCACCATACACCGAACCATCAGGTGATACGGACGAAGCCGAGCTGTTAGGAGGGGACATGGGAGTGGCGATGTCGGCTGGGGGACTGCTCAGATAGAAATTGTCGCTGCCGAAAAGCTGAATGTCCCACACACCGATCTGATATTCGATAGTTGGGTGCCATCCTCGCTGTGGAACGCCGGCCGGACTGGTGGGCGCAGAAGGTCCCATATATGGTACCTCGTAGTTGCCGGCATATTGTGGATGGAGATTGAAGTATTCGTGCCAGATGCCCTCTGCCTGTAAGCTTGCAGCTCGAGCCTCCATTGCCTTCTTTTCTGTGAAATTGGTTAGCTTTCAAGCTTGCTCCCGTTCTCGTGAACAACAAAGCGAGTACATACGCCGAAACCTGCGCTGGGCAATACGGTTCTGAAGCTTTCTCCTGTCGTTCACCGCCGGTTTTGGAGACGGGGACTTTTCGGTGGCGGGGTTTATCTCTGTCGTCATTTTGTTGACTTGATCCTTTTTGTTGTGCTTTATGCTGAGAAGAAGGTTTTGATAGCTAGTTCAAGTACTGTTAAAAGTGATGTAGGTCAGAGTAGGTTGGATATTACAGAAGGAGCTTTGTAAGTCTCGACGCAGAGACCGTCAGTGACGGGGCTCTTCTCTGGTTGATATAATTTTGACCAAACCCCACAAGCATATCACCAAGAGGGATCTGCTTCACTTCAACCTTATGACGGCTGGGTAGGAGGACTACACACTGAAGGAACTAGCTGGGCTAGACTAGGAGCCGGGGACTAGGAGTGCAACGGGAGGAACTCAGTTGAACCAGGGCACCTGGGCCAGGGTTGATACAAGGACTAAAGTTCCCCGCATCCTCATATTCAAGGGGGTGATCAGCGAGTACGTGATAAACATTGACTGGTTGATACCAGAGTCCACAATAGGCCGGCGTGATGCGACGTCGACCACGGGCTTAGGTGGCATTCGCGTGGCGTTGGAGGTAGTTCTGGGTATAGAGCAATGCGTAGGGATAGATACCGTGATCAAAGGGACTTCCTTGAAGCATCTGATTGTAGGTTGTGGATCGTTGTGCAGACTATTGTAACTTTGAAAGCTCATCGCCGGGCTATTTGCATAGTGCACCAGGCGGTAAGGCAACAAACAGGGCTGGCTTAAACGCCCAAAGCCAAGCTGGCATTCTGTGATGGCCTCGGCTTCCTTCGTCGGCAGAGCCACTAGGCGCTGCTGAGACCCATCGCGCAATCTCGGCCTGGATCGGTCAAACCGGTCACGCCAGAATCAAAAGGGTTTAATTTGCAGACTTGGTAGGGGAGAGGGAACCCTGATGAGCCTCAAAGAGGACCAGCGACCAGGGTGGTGATGGGGGTGCGGGATGGGGGTTGTGCACAGCTGGTGGCATTGAAAGTGGGCGGGTGGGCAGAATTCAACAAGCGGGAGCAACAGGGGAAGGAAGAAAGCTCATGGGGCACATCGGGAGAGCCAGGAAGGGCGAGCGATGGACTTGACCAAGCAGCTCTGGACTCCTCTTTGACTCCATTCAAGCCATGCCTAGAGAGGAACCAAGCTTTCATTGCCAAGTTGCCCAGCATCACACTTGGACCTTGATCTCCGATACACTGCGTTGAACCTCTACCCAAATCTGTATAGTAGTACGGGTTTGGAGACGGGGGCTTGTGGTTCTGGGTGTGCGGTTGCTGTACTTGTTCTTGATAACAGTTGATTACCCAGGACCGACGATGCTGTCTATCAGTTGGCTGTTCAATGCCGTTGTGACAGTGGGCCTCCGATGAGGTGCTATTTTGGGTGTATATACCTACGGTAGCAACAGATTTTTGTTGTTCTATGCGAGATCAGCTTGGACAGATTGTTTCTGTGCAGGTGCCAACCTCGAATTGAAGCCGGTGTGTGCGCAGTGGCGGGTACTTGTAAGTAGTGTGGTGCTCTTGAAGGCAGTCTTGCAGTGTCCCGATGCAAAGACGGAAACCAAGTGGGATTTGGGGCTGGAGTGGACATCCTGGAGGCCTGGAAAGGTAGCTGCGTAGACCCTATGTGCCGTTGCCTCATCAGGGCATGATATTGAGTGGAATTTTGTCACTTTTGGAACCAGATGTTACGGGTGAAGCTGTTGAGCGTCGTGGTGTTCAGGGCCCGAAAATGATGCAAAGGGAAGAAAGAGAAAGAGAAAGAGGACGAATGCCCGTCAAGTGTCGACCGATCCTCAAAGAGGGGGTGCACAGATTACCCAATCAGGAACGAGAAACGTCGTCTCATTGGTCGGTTTGTAGGGCTGCTCCTTCCCTTCTGTCCTCTTTTGCGTCTGAACAAGCAAGCACTGCCAACATGACAGCAATCATCTCGCGAATTATGCCCTCCATGAGAGAATTTTGTTTTAACTTGAAAGGATGTTGAATTACGTGCATCTGTGTGCCTACCATTCCTACTGCAAAGATAACCTCCATAGCGAAGGCGTTACTGAGACGACGGTCTTTAGTGGCCGTGTTCGTGCTGGCCTTTGCCAAGCACTAACAAGCTAGTAGTTGACGCAGAATAAGCAAGTATTTAATGTTGGGTGCAAATGTTTGAACTCATTTCAACCCGGTTTTCGGCCAAGGTCGGCGCAAGATGATGGACTCCGGTAATACTGTGCATTGTGTGATGATTCGGGTTCAGTTGTCGTGGCCAAGTCCGTTGAATGTCAGAACGTCAACTGACGGTCCAGATGATAGGCGCTTGATTTCAGGTGCAGAGTGGAGCATTCGGCAACAACCGAAAGCGGCAAGTGGGGGACACCGTGCGCTATCGCGGATCTGCGATAAGTCAACGCAGGTCGAAGCCAAGCACCTGCCAAGCTTTACACTTTCAGCTTGCCCATCACTTCCGATTATTTCTTGGCCTGCTTCTGTCACGCCTTCCCCCTTTGGTAGCTTCAAGTTGTCTACTCGTCCTTTTCCCCTTCTAGATGGCATCCTGGATTCTTCCTATGTAGAGTCTTCCTCGGACAGCCACTCACTTTATCTCCCCCTGTCAACCCGTTGACATGCGATCGATCTCGCCGCCGGCCATTATTGTTAGCTTCCACCTTTTTCGACCCTTTCTCACGCTCCGGCTTCCCGCTCCCCCCATCTTACAACCTAACACCATAATGTATCATACCTGCCTCTTGCTAACTGTCTTTGGAAACCAGCACGGACTCGATACCCGAAGAGGTTCTTGGAACTCTAGCCTCTTGATCCTAGAATTTGTCATGGTATGGATGGATGTCTGTTTGCTCGTCTTTCCCTACCACTGATATCCGTTTGCATGCCCTCTGGGTTCTCCTTTGGCACCCAATCATCTCGATGCCACACATTTCACCACGTTCTGTCGTCTCAATCTCACATGGTGGGATTGTTGGTCATGGTTCTTCACGATATTCCCTTCCGTCTCTCCCCGCAGATGACCAAACTTCCTTTTTTTCACACCCTCGCCGCATTCCACGATCTCGCGATCCTTTATCCACTTCTCAACACTCACCAGGGCTCATCGTACCGAGCGTCCTCCACAAATGGCACTGTGATGGTATTTTTTTCCCCAAGACACTCCACCGTCATGTTCGGACCACTCCGCACGCTATGAAGGGAAAGGAATTCTTTCCCGTTTCCTGTCGTCTTTGACATGGCCATGCTCCACCATTCTTGTCCTGGTCGAACCGGGCCCTGTGGGAGTTGACAGGCCTGTCTCGGCACTCGGTAGTATCGCATCTACCATTCCCTTTTCATCCTCGACTCTAAACCAAAAGAGACTCTTCTCCACCCAGCGCTTCGCTGGCTCCTGGGCCAGCCAGACACTTCACAATCTCTTACGACTGGCCCATGTTCCGTCGGCCCGCTCAGTCCTTGCGGCGCCTGTTGAGACTGTTGAAGCCGGTCCACTGAGACTAGCTTTTGCCAGTGGCAGGATTGGCTACGATATTGCGAGCGAACAAGCGAGTGCGTATGGGGCGTCAGTGCAGTGTTCTACTGTTCATTATGGCAACTCTACCCCATCAGGGCAGGTACCTAACATTCTACGATAATTTACGGGGAAGATCCTGAGAGCCGCCATTCTCTCGCGTGTCGAGGTGACACTTAGGTTTACTGGCAGGACCGTTTCCCTTTCGGCTGTCCAATGAGTGGCTTGCTGGCGGTCAGCCAAGATGCGTTCATGCACACATATCTTCGACATCAACGACGTGATAAGATGACCGCTTCGGCTTCTTGTGATAAAGCAGAAGATCGAGACTGAAGATTTTTTTCAGCTATCTATTAGAGACGAGATCTTAACTGAAGGTATTCCGACAATACCGGAACTGCACAGAGCAAGGCACTCCAAAACAATCGGTAGTTGTTCCGGCGCGATTTACGCAGCATGGCTTCCGCCCCGTTCGCTGCTTCACGTCACTCGTACGTTTGTGGACACTCAAGTGGACTATTAGGTGAACAAGCTAACCGAGGAAACTTGGTGGATGACACCTAATCATGGACATGGACTGTGGATTTTGTCTTTCCGACAAGCACCCGATTTAGTACGTGACTGACGTGAGCTGAAAAAGGCTGGAGTACGACCGAAGACAGGACTCGCGTATGATTGTCTAGAGATAAATACTACCTTTCCAGTCCCCGTTGTGGTCTTTGGCAACCGCATACTGAGTTGCCATTTCAGGAAGTTATCTAACCACTTATATGTATCAGGGGGTTACATACTCAAATGATATTCTTGAATTGCGATATCTCTTATCCAAATCTCAAATCTTCATTATCACCCTTTTATTATTGTCCATGGTCACTCTGCTTCTCCTCACGCCCACTTGGATACCTTCCGGTATTACAGTGCCCGGTTGTTGATGTATTCGAAGCTTAAGCATACTAGCTATATTGTACATCAGTGATCGGATTGGGAAAGGATATATCTTTATGCTACCCGGCGGGTTCTCCGTATGTAAGTTTTCTGTGAGGAGGGTCCCAAATACCCCTTTGGATCCAGGATTCCATGTTTGCAGCACACTCGAACTCGTTAGTGAGCTCCCCAAACCTGCGCAAGGTAAATCAGAGTTAGGATCATCAAAATCGCCCACCGGAAACTCTTTCCAACATCTGCTTTTTGTTGCCTTGCCACCATGTACTGTCAAACCCACAGATACGTGATTCCGACTGAGTCTCGGTATATGAGATTTCGACAACGAGACAAACGAGTGCTGTGACCGAGGCTATGGTGTTTTACTCGAGTCCATGGCTCACAGTTCTACCAGATGAAATGTCCGTGAAGAAGACTGGCCTGGTTAAACTACCGAGAAACCACAACCATCCAGAACCACCTTCAGAGTATTCCACACATGCCAATCGGCAGTCGCATCGTCGGTACTTGGAGGAGGCCACCTCAACTGTATGGATCTTTTGAACGGAAGCCAAAGTGCTTACCCCGAAGGTTCCCAAGCGACCCCCAAGAGACCCAAAACATGCACAGCAGTACCGTAGCGCGCCCAAGAACCAAAACCTCCTCCCTCCGTCGGACTTTTGCCCGGCATATACTCGTACGAAAAACTAAGCCAGAACATCCCGCACGCATGCCAACACCCCACGTCCTACCTAGATCCCCCCATCTCACCTGTATGCGACCTCATAAAGCCCGACGAAGGAAAGAATGAAAAGGGGGAAGCGAGACTCAGGGACCACTACATACGGTCACTACACACCAACGTACTGTACTGTACCTCCAATGCTACCCAAGAAACTTCACTTACCTTACCTTCCACTGTGTCCTTCCCGAAATGGATGGCTGGCGCCATGCGTGGTCCCTTTTTGTTGCACTCATACTACCGGTGAGACAAAAGTCTCTTGCGTTTTTTTTTGTTTTTTTTTTGTTTTTTTTTTGGGGTCGGAGTGTTGCTTCGTCGTTGTGCTCTTGCTTTTGGTTGCCTTGGTGGTAACGTAAGCCCGTTCGTTCGGCTCACCACAGTAACTTTAGTGGTGGATTGTTGGGTGTAGGTTGGTTGAGTTGGTGAGTGAGCGGTCTGTTTGGTTTGGTTAGAGATTCGGAGCCGGTTCGGAGTAGGCAGAAAGGGACTGGACGGGGGTTTCTTCATGACCCGGAGAAAATAATGCTGGGACGGAGTTTCTGAATGACGGAGGACATTGTAGAAGTAGTTATTCGTACGTAGCATGTTTGTATTTGTTCGAGTTTGGTTTTGGGCTTTACTAACCGACATGTACTATTCAGAGCTGCTATAAGTTGTGGTTTGAGAGACGACTTGTTACAACTCTACCAAGTATCGGTTAGGTACCTATATATACCCTGCTCGAGACTGATGTTTGTTGTTGCTCTATACTGCGTAAAAACTTTGTGTAACTCGACCAGAGAACATTCTCGCGGCCATGGGATATAACGGCCAAGAGATATCTTCCACTCGATGAATAACCTAACGTCAACCACGACAATAGTCGGCTTGCTGTAAAAGCCGGATGCTGATATTCAAACCACACTACTACAGTTAAGGCGGGAGGTGTGGCAGATGGCAGATGGCAGGTGTCGACTTGCGTTCGTTTGGCACTCGGACTAATTATGAGGGATAGAAAGTTCATTAGGTGCATTCCTTCCTATGTCTCCATGGTCGCTTTTTTGTTTTTGGCTTGAAGCATACGCGCGGCAATGGAAATCACCCACGTGCGATACGATATCAGTCAGTGGATGTGATGTGGTGCGGTGTGGATGTGGATGTAAGTGGAAGTGGCGGTCGGTTAATCTCGGGGACATCTTCGGACGCTCCTGCGTCTAAGCTTTTGGTTCTACCATTGCCACAGAGCATGAAGCATGCATCAAGGAACCTGGAAGAAAAGAACAAGCGTCTGCAATTTTTGCAGGAAGTCAACAACTTCAATAGAAGAGGGAAACTGGCAGTACAAAAGAACGGGCCCCCCAACACCCTAAATCATCTTGAATCCTTTTCTTCAGCACACTGCATCATCATTGTTGAATTTCGTTACTACATCACCGATTCTATCCACTAACATCAAAATTATCGACGGTCATTCAAATTGGATCTCGTTCGCTTTCTAGTACCAGTCCAACACGTCACGTCATGGTCGATAGTACTTCGTCGGTACTCGGGAATAACGAGCCGCATTCCATGTTTACAGGTATAATCTCAATGTACCTGTTCCAAGCCTCTGCTAGATCGTTGCAACTAACTCCTAACTCCCTTCAGATTCCGCAAGCATGTCCCCGGCCGGCCCCAATATCTATCGCCCGACGATAGATACACGGTCCTCAACCCAATCATTCGTCCTCACAACAACCTCGACAGTTTTTTACGCTGTCCTCGGATCAGTTCACACCAACGATCTGAACGACTCGCCCGGCCCTGACATTTATCGCCCGACATCAAGTACATCGACCTCATACCAACCATTCGGCCCTACAGCAACTTCGATAATTCCTCCCGATGTTCTAGAATCCGTTGATACCAACATTCCAAAGGGATCTTGGAAGGTGAAGGTCGGTGCTTCACTCGGAACCTTCCTCGTGATTTGGTGTCTTGTCGGGCTAGTAGAGTTGTTCCGAGTTAATTGTTTTGGTATATGGAATAGGGTGACTCGCAGTCAAAAGCTTAATGAGAATACCGCCCTCGCTGAATTTCGGAAGATCATGATTCGATACCTTTCTTTCTGCACCCTCTTCATCATTGCATGGCTATTCGGCAAACGGTACTTTCAAGCATGCAAGCGTCTTGAAGAATAGCAAAAACATATCTTGGACGTTGAGAACCACATCATTGATGGAATTCGGGCCGACATACGCGACGCGGAGTCCAACATCCTGAAGGAAGTTCGCAAACACGGAACAGGTTGCAGGGGCAATTGTGAACCACGATGTCCCTCGTATGAAGAGGCCATGGGACCCAGCAATACAGGCGGAGAACCGAATATCACTCAAATGTCAGCTCAACTAACCTGAGTAAGTGGATGTCGAGACCTTGTCCGTGTCCGGGCTTTTCTTCCGTCTAGATCACTGACGATTGCTAGTTTGCTGTTTCATGAGGGATATGATGACGAGGATTTTGCAGATTATACCACTCGCTGCTCAGGCAGAGTATAGCGAATACGAAGAGTTTTGTGAGGTCGATTTAGTGTGATCGCATGACGGAGAACGAACAAAGCGATTGGAATTCTGTTTTTTTTTAATGTAATGAGTGGCGTTAAACCACCAAGCGCGAGGATTTCATTACCATCGGCTCAAGCAAGCTGACGGAAACAAGTTCACTTGAACAAGCATTGCATGGTCAGATATGAAAGCAGCATCAAAAAGAAGAACTCGATTAGTCTCATTCACTCAGTCACATCTCTCGAGCCCCCTTCCCTCTCTCGTTGCTGTATTGCCGTCGAAGAAGTCTTTCTTGACAGATGTCGAGAGTCTATACGTTACTCCTGTGGTGTTCCGCAAAGACTCCAGTCCCTCGTTAGTAGTCTACCAGCAGCGGAGACGTCACCCAGAGCATGACCCCATTCCATGTGAACGAATGTAGTACAGTAAAGAAAGCCCTTGGATAACGATCAAGTCTGGTACATATGGACAAAGTTAACTCCGGCCTCGCTAAGCAGTAATACTTACTTCCCTTTCCTCTCATCCTCCTGACTGATCCTTCATCCATCCAACCCCAAGTCCGCTTGTTCTACCAATGCTCACATCCAATACCCATCCCTCCACAACTCCTTGCTATACCCCTCCGTCAACCTCTCATCCAGCCCAAAAGCTTCCTGCCAGCCCACAAACCCGCGATCTAGCACAAAAACCTTCTGGTTGACCGGCTGCTTCTTCTTCTCGTCCGTCTTTCCCTCTCCCTCAGCCTCCTTGGCAACCTCCTCCGCCACCTCCTCTACCGCAGCACCATCAGCGGTGGAAGTGAGCTTAGTGCCCACCTCCTTCGGCATCAAACGCTCCCGCTCGCGAATGTAGCGCAAAGCGGCGCTGGGTCCGCGCTGCTGCGAGAGCGCGCAGTGGAAGACGACTGTCTCCTTGTCTTGCAGCTGGCGGACGAGCGTGGGCAGCATGACGTCGAGCTTGTGCGAGGGGACGTTTTGGGAACCCTTGATGTGGCCGCCTATGTAGTCTGAAAGGAGAAGGAGGGTTGGGGTTAGTTTTTAGGCAAGGGATATCACGTATAGTGGTAGCTTCCATGTTTGGATGTAGTGATTAAAAGTGGTGCCCGTATCTGGCAAGATAGGATCGAGATCGGTGAACTTGGTCCGGGATTGGACTGGATTTCCAGTTCGATGTTCGTTGTGGAGGTTGGAGTGACCGACCGGGGCGGGAAACTACGCACCGTCATCCCGCACGTCAATGATAGCCAGAGAAGTGGGGCTGTCATTCTCCGCCGTGCTGGCCGCCGCCGCCGCCGCCGCCGCCGCTGAGGCCTCTTGTTCAGCCAGGATCAGCTTGGACAGGGCCGGGGCCGAGAGTCTCTGGAGGGATCCGATAGTGGTCATTTTCTGGCGGTGACTTTTTGTGATGTTGGCGGGACCTAGGAGGTGAATAACAGCTAGAGAAAGAAGGACGGGGTAAGAAACGTTTTTGGAGGCGGGGAGTTATTTGTGGATTTCTCTCTTGAGAATGTCGCGATTTTCCTGGACCTTTTCTACCTCTTTCAATGCCCTTCCAAATGGTTCTTGGGCCGCTATCAGTGCCTATCAAACCGTCGAGTGTCAATCCGGGCTTCCACTACGTATTGGGTCCCATTCTTTCAGCGGGCGGCGTTTGAGCTGTCCTGGTACCAGAGGCATTTGGAACAGTCTGGACCGCTCTTGCGCCTTTACAATGGCAGACGGACAGCTGCCAACAGCTGCTAGGAGGGGTTTGGACAGATGTCACGGGCGCTTTCGCAATGGAGAATCCTTGGCGGCGATCTTGAACTCTCAACCTTATTTGCACCTCAACCGACCTTCAAAGTATACTTGCACTTCTCGAATTGAATTCCGTGCCGTATTCCGACTCAATTAATGAAATTCATTCAGTTGACGATGTCTGTCCTTCAAAATCAGGGCCTCACGCGTTGAAGATCGCATGGAAGGTGGCCACTTCAACGACGTCGGCGGTTTCGAGTCAAGTCATGCCGTCCAATTCTCGAGTCATTTTGGTTTACTGACACAGGTTCATCCTTTCAAAGCATCGAATCTATGGTGGCGCCGACAAAGGATCTTCTTGTTCTCCAAGCCTACTTCCGCGGAAGCTGCTGAGTCAAGCCTTGTGGCAGAAAATCCGGAATACAGACTGATACTTCGCTCCGGGATTCGGGACTCATTTTCAAGTGCTTGGGCGATGACTTCGGGGAGGCAAGCTCGCAATCAGCCCGATGATCCCGAGTGGCAGTAGTCAAGAGGTCCTGGTTTCGCATCTTCACGGCTGACTTGGCTTAGCCGTTTCCACCTTGTTTCTAGATCACATTTTTGCCGAATCAGAATCTCGAATGGCTATCACAGTCATTCAGATCCGTATCTTCGGCTGCTTGACGCTCGGCGTTTGCTCTTCCAGGGCTATGATATCCCACTCCATTCTTTCTGTCGTCTAGTTGACCATGGGAGCGACTCGCTATTATCTTCTATCCTTGGGTTCCTACCCTGTATCATCATCCCGCTTTTCTTTCTCGCAGCGTTCATCTCTAGTTGCTCTCTTCCAAATGCAGACAATGGAACAATGAGTTTCCTGTCCTGTTCTTCAGCGCCCTTAGTCTGTCAAGATGAACCATGAGAAAGCGGGATCGTCTCAAATACGGTCTGATTCTAGGAATCATTGTCTGCTGCTCGACAGCATTGAGCGCACTTGACAATGTGGCGAGCGCAGAGTCTGCCGAGACCGACAATCTGGTAAAGCCATGGCCACACTATCATCCACCCGTCGGTGCAAGGAGTCCGGTCAACAGTCAACAAGATCATCGCTCTCAGCCCGTGTTAACGACCGTGACCTCGACGATCAGTGCCGCAGTGGCAGCAAAGGCAACCCCTTCACCTTTCCCAACCACGGCACCCACGGCTATGGGATCCCCTCAGCTCAACAACCCCATTTTCGCAACAATAAGTTCCCTCAGCAGCGCCCTCGAAGAAGCCGAGTCAAATGCCATCTACATCTCAAGCCTCCTGGCGATATCCATCATAGGGCTTCAGGAGTCGATCGATCAGCTTACCTCGTCAGCTTTCAGCGCTTTGGCATCAGTCCAAGCCTCGGCCTCAAGCGCAGTAGCGTCGGCTGAGGCATCTGCTTCCAATGCCGTGATATCTGCAGAACGTTCGGCCTCGAGTAGGGTCAGCAGTATGAGCAGCAGTATGAGCGAAATGTTGGACCAAGGGGATGTGGTCACGGTCACGGTCACAGCAACCGTGGTGTCAGTTACAACGGACCTTGTAGGGTCGACCGTCACAGTCACGGCAGACCCAAGCTCGACAGACTCAAGCTCAACAATGGTCGGTGCTTCCCCCATATGGCAAACTGCTGACCGACCTGTTAACATTTACCAGGCTCCAAACGACTCCCAGGCTCAAAATGAAAACGACATCAAAGCTGTACAAGGAGCTGCGTTATCGGTCAACCGTGCTGCTATAGCAGTTGTCGTTGCCATCATTGGTTCCTCTCTGCTTTCTCTTGCGGGCTTTTACCTCTTCGTGAGATACCGAAAGAGGAAACAAAAGAAGAAAGAAGAAGAGCAGAACGTAAGCGACGCACTCGACCGCGCCATCGTTAGCTATATCGTTAAAGATCAGACTAGTCCAACGTCAAACGATGGCGACCCTTCTAGTCCGACAGGGCCACCAGAAACCATCCACTTGGAGACCATCGAAGAGGTAAACACACCCCCTCCAGACATGGGACCATTACCACCACCCGTTCGTCGACCCTCACAAGCCTATCGCCCCTCACAAACACCCCAGACGCCCCAGTTCGAGCCACCAGCAGGCATCTCCCCACGACAAATTGGACAAGCCGTCAGCAAAGACTATAGCATCGACACCCTCCCATCACCCGGTCCACCACCAACTATCCCCCTACCAACTCCACCAGCAACAAAAGACATCAGGCGAAACATCTCAATACGACACGCTCCCGAGAGCAGAGACAGCGTCTACGGAGACATACTAGCCAGGCCGCTAACAACCGTAACTACCAACAGTTCGGTGATGAGCGGCGTGAACGCTGGTGGATACCCGCTCGGACACGCGAGGACTGTATCTTCAACCGTTGCGGGAAGTGTTGGTGTCGTTGGGAGAATGGCCAGTAACGCATCTGCTTCCACTCGAGGCAGGCACACAAGGGGGCCGTCGACTTCGAGGCGAAGAGCGGCGAGTGCGGGGAGTGTGAGATTGCAGGGTCAAAGCATGGGGGATCAACAGCAACAACGACAACAACAACAACAACAACAACAAAAACAACAACAGCAGCAGCAACCGGAGAGAAGAGATGACAGAAGGGATTTGAATTGGCCGTTGCCGAAGAACGGGTTCGTTTGATCATGTCAATGATATGGTTGGCGTTTGGAGTTTTTTGGTTAAGGTAATCTAGATGGTAGCATCCGCGGGAACTGAAGGTGGGACTTTAAAGGCCCTGTATAGTTCTTGAATACGAAGTCTCGTCGATACCGTTTCAGTTATATTTGCAAACCCCTTTTATCCTACTTGGGAAAGTCAACAACGTCGACGATGTTGTTGTCGCTATCAATGGAAAGAAAGCAGGTCACTTGAAGAAGGGTTAGGGTTGATTAAGACCACAACAAGCAGGTTTGAGCCATTGCAATGACGTGGCTGATGCGAGAGTGGGTTGTTGGCCCAAGCTTCCTGCCCATGAACCCAGTTGAGCTCTCCAAGAATGACGCAGGCGGCAACAGCACTGAAGCTTTGGGGGGACTTGGAAGCTGCCAGTGGTCACATCGCGGGATGCAACCAACAGAACGGGATCAATCAATCCAAAGAATATGTTGACACGACAGCAAAAAGTGTGAAGACTCCATGCGATCTTCATTGATAAGAAGAGTGTATAGCAACAGTTTAAGTTTGTTCCTACCTATGACCGTCCCAGCAACCTCCATGACGAGAAGCCTGCCGCCCAGTCTTTGGGCAACGGGATTGACGTCTTGCATGTGAAACCGGACCAGATCTGACCAGATTCTGGCGGGTTCTGGGACTGGGACGGAGAGAGCTGTAAGCGCGATGACGACAAAAACGCCCAGCTCTTCCGTTGAGACCAACGCCATGGTGTTAGAACAGCCTTCTGGGTCGAAGTTTCAAAATAAAAACCCGTAGTAATCGTGGAAAGACCTTCCGGAATTTATTTTCCACCTTCGTTAATTCTTGTTCATAGCATCCATCATTTGTCGTCTTCTTTGTGCCGCCCTTACAACGGCGGTGATACCCCATCTCAACTTCCCAAACAAAAGCTCTAGTGTACAAATCGCAGTCGCAGCCAGCCCTACAGAAGTTAGGTTGTTTGCGCTATCATCTTGAATGCCTAGCCCGACGAGTTTAGGTTAACGTCCCACCAAGAAATACCCTGGCTGCGTTAGTGCGATACCTGGCCCTACGGTAGGAACATCAGCAAGGCGCACCGACCACGCTAGCTATTGAACCTTCGGCAGAAATTCCCCGACCTGAAGTTGAAAGAAGGACGTGGATAAGAGCTGAAGCACAAGCACACGACCGCCCTTTTTTTCTGGCAACAGGGAACTCCACCACACGCACCGCTCATCACAGCCACGCTCTCTCCCACCGACTGCTTTCCAAGTTGTCTCAACTCTAGCTCTTCCATCAACATCGCCAACCGACCGAGCGATATCAAAACAACTGCGCCCGACACCCACCACAGCAAATCTTAAGCAACCCATTTTCAGTACAGCATTTCTATCACAATGGCTCCCCCGCCGCCCGCCGACCTGCCTCTTGCGCAGAGGATTCAGAAGTTGGCACAGACCCTGCAGTGTACGTGTGCACCCCTTTCCACGTTTGAGCTTCCATCGCCGTTGTAGCGATTCCAAGATTCATCATGAGCGCAGGTTGCTAACTGTCGTCGTCTCACAGTCGCTTGGTTCGCTGGGTACGTCATGGTCCTCGATTGCCTTGCTGTCCCGCTCCTCTCTCGTGCCGCCCACTTTCAATCAAGATGAAGCAAAGTTCATAAAGGGGCAGCAAGGCGGTATCGCCTAGGAGCGGAGTGTCGGGGCGGCCGATTCTCGCGCCGTGGGATGTTCTACTTGATTTCGTTCGTATGCTGACGAGATATTGATCACAACAGACATGCCACCCTTCTTATCTGCGTCGCCCGCTACATCTTCTCGTGGCTTCGCATGAACTACTATGGTCGTATGGCCCAGTTCTGCTACCGCACCACCTTCCTCTCCGCCGCTCTCACATACGGTATCGTGGTTTACAAGACGTGGCGCGCTCGTCAGAAGACCGGTGCTAAGCCGGCCGGCGCTATCAGCTATCTCACCGACGAGAACGTTCAGTACCTCCGTATGTTTGCTCTTCCCCTGCAAGCGGTGACGCTACCAACGGATGCTAACCCCGAAGCTCAGTTTTGGCCCTTGTCTGGCTCTTCATGCCCCAGTACCCTATCGCCATGCTTCCCTTCGCCATCTACTCGGTCTTCCACGTCGCTACCTATACTCGTGCGAACTTGATCCCGACTCTCATGCCCCCTACCAAGGTGGCCCCTGCCGCCGGTGCCTCGCCCAGCGCCAAGCCCCAGTACACTCAGCACCCCATGTCCGACGCGATTGGCAGTTTCGTTAAGCAGTACTACGATTCGTCCATGTCGGTTGTTGCCAACATTGAGCTCGTCCTCTGGCTCCGTATCTTCCTCAACGTCATCCTCTTCCAGCGCCGCTCCTGGATCCTGATCGTCATCTACACCGTCTTCCTCCGCACCCGCTTTGCTCAGAGCAGCCACGTCCAGAACTCGTTCAGCAACTTTGAGGTCCGCATCGACAACCTCATTGGCGCTCAGGGCACCCCTCCGGCTGCTCGTCAGGCTTGGGAGACCGTCAAGGGCCTTGCCCGTCAGTTCCACCAGGCTACTGATGTTAACAAGTACATCAACGGTGCCGCTGCCCCCAAGAAGACCTCCTAAGTTGTCGGCTATTGCCGAAGCTAGAGATCTTTAAGCATTGATGACAAGTTTGCTTCGCGCTTCCAGCGCGACCTAGGCAAGACAACACTTGAGATTGGAGGCCCACTGTGCTTCCTTTAATTCGAAGACCTTTGGCCCGGAAGCGAAGGACCGGTCACACCTTTTGGTCGGGATGAGTTGATTAGGGAGATCGGAAGGATGAGACAGGACCCTGTAGGGTAGTGTATCGGGAAAGGCTTATTGGTTGGAGGGCAATATGCCACGGAAAGGAATAAGAGTGCGTAATGGCTTCGGTGTAAAGCACGGGAATTGTTAAAAATCAGTTTATTGCTAGGCTTTCATGGACAGTTTGTTGCAGTGTTACACTTGTGGTTGCGAAGAGATGTGGTCGGGGACTCTGTGTGTGAATTTCCTAGCTGCCGAATGCATGGAGGCGTGTATATCTCGCTTGCTTTTCGAGAATCAGTATCCCTAGGCGCATAATAATTACCTAGAGACATATTGTCATCAAGCCCAGCTGTTCTGGTCGTGTCGATCGTATGTGAACAACATCCCACGAGTCGGTTTATCCTCGACCAGTACACGATAGCTGCCCCACTTTGATACCCCTATCGGGCACCCCTCTCGAACCACTTCAGGTCCCGCTGAGGGCGCCCAGCAATGACGTCGCTTCCGCTTACAACGCCTGAACCAAGCGGGTTCTCAGGCCTCCATCACAGCCTGTACCATCCAGCTGGTAGAGAAGAATTCCACCCATTCGCATTCGGATTTGGGTTATATCGAACGGGCTTGGACGATCGACTAGGATTTTGCCGGTTTTCGAGATTCAAGTGTCTAAATGTCATCCTGACCCCGGATGTGCTGCGCCTCCATGACTGAGCTGTCCTCTTTCTCCTTTACTTTACTTGTAATCACACATCACCATTCCTCGGCCACTTCGACAAACGATACCCCCATTGTTTCCCAACGGCTGTGTCACTCAGCAGTCTTTATACCGTGACTTCTCCTCCTTCTGTTAGAGCTCCCTTTGTTTATATACAGATTATCTGGTCGACAACTTGTTCAGGCTAAAAAGAATACCGATCATGGCCTCCCTGCTGCGTCAGATCGTCGCCGGTCCACGCCTAAAACACGAGGATACAGGGCTAGACCTATGTTATGTTACCTCGAATATCATCGCAACGTGTGTTACCTCTACCTCCCCTACCTTTCTTCCGTCCCATGTGTTCGAAGAGTTAGCAGCCAGCTAACAGGGAGAGGAACCCAACAGATCCGGACCGTCACAAACATATCCCCAACGAGCCTACCGTAACCCCCTCGACCGCTTGGTCGCTTTCCTCGACGAGAAACACGGCGATGGCTGGTCCATCTGGGAATTCCGCGCCGAGGGTACCGGATACCCGGATGAAGCGGTGCACAACAGGATTAGACACTACCCGTGGCCGGATCATCACCCGCCGCCGTTTAGACTGGTGCCGATGATTACGGCTAGCATGCGGAATTGGCTGGATGGGGTGGATGAAGGGCCTTCTGGGAACAACAGCGGTTTTACGACGACGACGACGACGACGACGACGACAGATGACGCAACCAACACGATAGACGGAAGCCGAAGCGGCAATGGCAAGACTGAGGCAAACGTGAATACAGCGAGCAACAACAAGAGACTCGACCTCGACCGCCCCCGCCAAAAAGGCGAGCGCGTCGTCGTCGTCCACTGCAAAGCTGGCAAAGGCCGCTCCGGCACCTCCATCTGCAGCTACCTGATCTCCGAGTGCGGCTGGACAGCCGCCGACGCTTTGGCGCGCTTCACCGAGCGCCGCATGCGGCCCAACTTCGGCAAGGGCGTTTCGATCCCCAGCCAGCTTCGCTACGTCGGGTATGTCGACAGGTGGGCCAACGCCGGAACAAGGAAGAAAAAGGTCTACGTGGACAGGCCGATTGAGATTGTAGAGATCCATGTCTGGGGACTCCGGCACGGGGTCAAGCTGGCCGTGGAAGGGTTTGCGGACGAGGGGAAGAGGATCGAGACGTTGCATACGTTTGGGAAGGGGGAGAGGATTGTGGTGCAGGGGGATGCGCCGGGCGGAGGCGGGTTGATGGACATGTTTTATGATATGGCTGGGTATGGCGCTGGTAAGGAAAGCAGTTCGGAAGAGGAGGACGAGGAGGTGAAAAAGAAGGAGGTGGTTTCGGGGTTGGATGGGACGAGAAGTGATATTGATGATGCAAGTCGGTTGACACCGGGTTCGTCTAGCACGAGCGCGAGGAGGAGTCGGAGTAAGGAAAAGGTCGAGAAAATGGGCAGCAGGGCGAGCAGCTTGGTGACGAAGCTTTCGGTGCGGAAGAGCAAGGACCATGAAGAGAAGGAGCTGGAAAAGAAGAAGAGCGCGCTGAGTGGTTCATCAGCGGCGTCAAGTGATGGGAGCATCCCCAAGCTTGGGGAGACCACTGCTGCTGGCAACACGGTACCAGGCAAAGGAAACGGCGGCAAGGCAAAGACCATCGCGATGCCAGAAGCCTCGCAAGTTACGAAACTCCCGTCGACAGAACAAAACATCGTCAGCGAATATACGTCCAACATTAACCCCATCCCCTCGAAAGCCAGCACCGAGTCCTCTCAAAAGCCACAAAAACCAGTTTTGGCCGATGAATCAGAGCTAGGCGGCCAAGCCGTCATCTTCAAGCCCAAGAAGCCTATCATCGTTCCCAACAGCGACGTCAACATCGACATCGAACGACGAAGCCGCGCTTCGGCCAGCATGGGCCTAACCATGGTCACCTCGGTCGGCCATGTCTGGTTCAACGCTTTCTTCGAGGGCAATGGACCGGAACAGGACGGCCAAGCGGATGAGAGTGGAGTGTTTGAGATCGAGTGGGATAAGCTGGATGGTATCAAGGGGTCGAGCAGGAAGGGGACTAGGGCTCTTGAGCGGCTGTCGGTTGTGTGGAGGGTTGCTGAGACTGGGAGTGGAACTGGTGGTGTCACTGAGAGTGGTGCTGCTGCTACTGCTGCCGGTGCTGCTGGCGCTGCTGGCGCTGCTGCGGTAGCAAAGGGGGGAGAACAACCCACGGCGGCCGGAGCTGCTAGTTCCGCTGCACCTGAAACAGTCATCACACAGCCTGGAGACAAGAGCCCTGTTCCTCAGATGAAGCCTGCTGATTGGAAGGGGGCTGATCCTGAACATCTTCCGAAGGAGAAAGAATTGGGCTTGAGGGCCGAGACTACAGAAAGCGCGAGTGTCAGTAAGGCCAGTAGTCTGAAGGACCTCGACATAGTGGATGAAGGTGGTAAGGGCGGTGATGATGACCGTGACGATGAGTCGTTGGTTGGGGTGAAGACTAGCGATCCGAAGGGGGAGGAACTCGATGAAGCCGCTACGCCGAAGGCTACTGCTTGAGAGCTCTAGACGCATTTCATGATGTTTTAACTGAAAGCATTGTGGAACACATTACGTATAAGCTGGACAGGTCTACATCTTGATATACCGATATACAGACTAATACCTGAAGAAGGAGTAGTGACTGATTGAACAAAGAATCGTTTCTGTCCCATGTGGTCGTCCAACTCCAGGTCCCTGTGGTTTCGATCTCATTTTTACGCTAACCAAATGGGTTAGGTGAAGTCACAACCTTGGTGCTGTTTGACAAAGCCACGGATGATTTCATCACCACGGCTGCTTGTGAATCAACTGAAAGCATCTCCGAATCGTTGCGGTCATACCCGAGGGAACCAGGAAGTCAACTGACAAAACTCGAACTTGTGTACGCACATATGACTGAGTCAAGTGTCGGTGGTTGAAACATCCAATGGTGTTTTCCCTAATTGTCCAAGTGCCCCATCTCTCAAATGGCTCATAGTAGTGTAGTGTACCTACAGTAGCCGTTTGAGTCTTCTCAAAGACTCCCTTTGGACGGCCAAGGCCGTTGGACTTGGGCGAGACAGTGACAATCCGGGGATGCTCTTACACGTGTGACTCCGCTCAACCGGCCATTGACCGCACGCTTAGCCGATTCCATTGGCTTATCGGCTTATCGATAGGTAACGTTCGGCATGCGGGACAGGGGGTGTAAGTACCGGGAACGGGGATGAGCGCTGTGACTGGGCGAGGCGAGAAGTATCTCTACATAGAATCTTGAAGGGGCTCTTTTTTCACCTGTGAAGAGGGAGACGGGATCTCCCTTCATCGGAGGAGCCCCAGACAGAGCAACGAACGGGAGTGTTCAGTCCCGTCACGCACTGCAGTCAGTTGCCCGCCCGCGGTGGCTGCTCGGCTGCTGTCGCTGTCAGGGGTCTCCACAAAAATTTTTCTTTCAACTTTTTTCGCCCGTCATGGGGCATTGTCCATTGATCCTGGGCCGGGCCCCGTCGACGCG